GAAAGAGTGCCTCAGGTCCCCGTACCACGTGTGTTCGATTATACATAGACTCATGACATCTCCTGCACGCTGTCATTTTGTTCTTAACTCCTCTCTTTTTATATTCGAAACTTTTTATTTCGAGGTCATTGTAGATTTACATGCAGTTGTTAGAAATGATACAGAAACATCCCCTGTACCCATTACTCAGTTCCATCCGATGGTATCGTCTTGCAAAACTGTAGTATAATACCGTAGCCAGGAAGTCAGCACGGATCCATTCAAGGTCCAGAAGACTTCCATTTCCCCGGGGATCCCTTTTATAGCCGTACCCACTTTCCTCCCAACCCCATTTCCTCCTTAACCCCTGGCAACTACTGATCTGTTCTCCGTGTCCACAGTTTGTCGTTTCAAGAACGCTACATAAATGGAATCGCGTAGTCCATAACCGCTGAGGACTGGCTTTTTTCACACAACATAATTCACTGGAGACTGTGTATATCGGTAGTTCGTGGTGTGGCTGGACCGGTTTGTTTAACCATTCTCCTGTGAAAGGACATCAGTTGGTACCAGTTTTTGGATATTGTGAATGAAGCTGCTGTAAACATTCGTGTACAGATGTTTATGTGACGAGTCTCCATTCCCCTGAGATAAAAGCCCAGTAGCATAATTGCTGGATTGTGTATAGTAGGTACATGTTTCGCTTTCTTAAGAAACTGTTTTCCTGAGTGGTGGTGCCAGTTTTGTGTTCCCACTAGCAACGTGTTAGTAATCCAGTTTCTCTGCATCCTCACCAGCATTTGGTGTTGTCACTATTTTTCGTTTGAGCCACTCTGGTACATGTGGAGTCATATCTCGCTGTGGTTTTAGTCTGCATTTCCCTAAAGGCTAATGATGTTAAACATTTTCGTGTGCTTATTTGCCATCCATATATCGTCTTTCATGAAATGCCTCTTCATATCTTAGCCCACTTGCTAATTATAGTGTTTGGGTTGTTTACCGTTGAGTTTTGAGAGTTCTTCGTATTTTTTATATAATTAGGTACTAGTCCTTTGTCAGATGTGCGGTTTCCAAATATTTTCTCCCCATCTATAACTTTAATTTTCATCCTCTTAACAGGGCCTTTCGCAGAGCAAAAGTTTTTTTAAGTTTCACCAAATCCAATTTATCGAATTTTTCCTTTTACGGAGTGCGCTTTTGGTGTCAAGAATTAAGAACCCTTTGCCTCCCCACGGATCCTGAAGATTTTCTCCTACATTTTCTAACAATGTGATAACTTTACATTTAAGTCCATGATTTATTTTGAGTATAAGACGCGAGAATTAGATAGAGGTTCGTTTCCCCCGCCCTCCAACGTATGTCCAGTTGCCCTCGCCCCGTTCGTTGGAAAGGCGGCCCTTTCTCCATTGAATTGCTTTGTCAAAAATCGATTGAGCATATTTGCGTGGGTCTGTTCTGAGGTTCTCTCTTATGTTCTATTGATTATATGTCTGTCTGCCTATATGAAGTCTTGAAATCAGGTGGAGTGATTTCTCCCATCGTATTCTTTTTTTTTCAATATCGTCTTAGCTATTCTAGTTTCTTTGCCTTTTCCATATAAATTTTCGAACAATTTTGTATATATCTACTGAAAAATCTTGCTGGGATTTTGATAGACATTATATTAAACCAATATATCAATTTGGGGAGAATCGATATCTTAACTATGTTAAGTCTTCCGATTCATGAACAAGGTGTGTCTTTCCATACATTTATTTCCTCTTTGATTTCTTTTATTAGCGTTTTGTAATAATCAGCATACAAATTCTATACATGTTTTATTAGATTTATACCTAAATATTTCTGTTTTTATTTTCGTGAGCAATTGTAAGTGATACCGTATTTTTAATTTCAGTGTCTTAATTTAAGTTCGTTGCTAGCATATAGAAATTGATTTTTGTATGTTTACCTTGTGTCCTGTGACCTAACCGACTCAGCTATCAGCTCTTTTTATTTCCCTTTTTTGTCTTATCGCTCTGGCTAGAACTTCTAGCGCTATGCTGAAAAAAGAATGGTGAGAGTAGAAATCCTCGCCTTGTTCCTGATCACAGGAGAATCATCCAGTCTTTCACCATCGAGGATGTGAGCTCTAGTTTTCTGTAGGTGTTATTAAGTGCCACTCTATTCCTAATTTTTTGAGAGTTTTTGTCATGAATGTTGAATTTTTCCATGTATTTTCTACATTTATCAATATGCTCATGTGATTCTTTTCTTCATAAACCTGTTAATCTTGTGGGTTATAAAGATTAAATTTTAAATATTTAATCAGATTTACATCACTAGAACAAACCACACAGGGTCATGGTATATAATTCTTTCAACATACTGATCCATTGCTCTATTCTATTTGCTAATATTTTGTTAAGGATTTTTTTCCCTTTACTTTTAAATTTTTCTTTTGATTGTTAAGGATTTTTGCATCTTTCTTCATGAAAGACATTTTTCTTTTTATGGTACAATCTGTGCCTGGTTTGTGGTAGCAGGGTAATACCAGCTTCATAAAATGAATTAAAAAATAATCCTTCCTCTTCTGTTTTGTTGAAGACATTGTATAGAATTGGTGTCACTTTTATAAAAGTTTAGTAGAATTCTCCAGTAAAACCATATGATCCTGGAGATTTCTTTTTAGTGAATTTTAAAATTAAGAATTTAATTTCCTTAATAGTTATAGGACTACTCAAATTATCTATTTCATATTTAGAGGCATGTAATAATATGTGTTTTTATCTAATCGTCAAATTTATATGTGTAAAATTGTAGCAACTCCTTATTACCCTTTTGATATCTACAGGATCTACAGTGATATTTCCTGTTTCCTTCCCAATGTTAGTCATTATGTCTTTGTTTTTTTTGTTGTTTTTTTTCTGTCAGTCTTGCTAGAGGCTTGACAATTTTCTGTCTCTATTGTGTTGTTTTCCTTTTCATTGATTTCTGCTTTTTATTACTTCCTTCCATTTGCATGTTTGGGGATTTTTTTTGTTCTTTTTCTGTGTTCTTAAAACTTTCTATTTTTAATTTGTCTCAATTTAATTTCTTTGTAATTGCTCATTGAAGCATTTTCATAATGGCTGCTTTAAAATCAGTCAGATAACATCTCTGTTATCTTGGTCTCTGTTATCTTGAGTCTTTTCATTAAGTTTTAGAGCTCCCCGGCCCCCCGATATTTTGGGTATTGTTAGGAGACTTTCAATCTTAGTTAAACCTGGTTTTAGATGCTTGTTCTGACACTGCTCTGGCGGGGGATCAGGGCCCCTCCTCATTGCAGCCAGGTCGGGAGGGATTCAGGTTCCACCCTGTCCTCTGTTGACACCCAGCTGCGGTGGGAGGAGGGAGGAGACTCCTATTTCTTCAGGGCAGGGGTGGGAGTTCAGGGTCCCTACTGGGCCCCCACTAATACCTCCCTGCCCAGAAGGGGTAGGAATGCCTCGTTGCTGCTCCCCACCTGGCCTCCCCGACACCACGGGATCACGGTAAGCAGTAATAAAGTCTTGAATCCCCAGAGGCCTCTTCTGACACTGTCCCATCATGGAGAGAAGGACAGACATCTTGTTACTGCCAAGTGGGGGTGGCAGTCCCTGCTCTCTGTGTGGTCTCCATTCTCACCTCGGGGTGGGGGGCCTCATCACTTCCCAGCAAGGATGAAATTCCTCCTCCCTAATTGTCCTCTGATACCGCCCCGGCTGAGTGCGTTGGGGTGCCTCGTTATAACCTGGCGAGGGTAGACATCTAGGCTCCCTGAGCCCCTCACTGGTGGGGTTGGGGGTGAAGCAACAATGATTTCTATGGTGTTTGGTTATTTTCTAAAATTTCTGTCATTCTAGGCACCTCCTTCCCCAGCCCTTTGGCTCCCTGAGGGAGCAGACGTCTGGGGAACTTTTTTGGTCTCTACCACTCATGTTTCTGGGTTGCTGGCCTCTTCAGCTGTAAGCCTGGAGTCTGTAAGGCGACAAGAAAAGCCAGGGAACTCACCACCTTTCATTGCTGTGTCCCAGTGCACGCTGACGGTCGCCTCCTTCTCTGCACCTTTCGGGGTCTTTTATGTTCATTCTGTACATCAACCACGTCCAGTGTTTTGGGTTGTACTTAATGAGAAGCATAGGGAAAACATGTCCGCCCAGATCCTCCAAAGCCAAACAACTCTTCTCTTTTTGCTGAGTCTTCTTACTTATTGACTGTAAACTACTTGAGAAAAGCAAGCCTATCCTAGAGTTTTGTGTCCCCTGTAAGGCCTGTGCATAAGAAGGCGCTATTCGGTTGTTCACGTGGTACCTTGAACGCAGCGAGGGAGAAATCCTGA